CGTAACATATGTAAGAGAATGTTGAAATATAACATTCTCTAAGTCAATAACTTTTCAGATTAATACCTTTACCAGGAGACCACCGAAGAAGATATTGTTCAGGAAAACTTTTTTTTTTTTGAAGTATGGCATATTTTTACAACCCAAGGCAAGCAAATAATGTTTACGACATGGCAAACCAGTCTCAGAGATAAGATTAAGAGTTTAATAATTACACACTTTTTACATTATGAAAATAAGTCATAAATAGTGTAAAAATAATTCTGAAGTTCAACTTCTCACAAAGTAGGGACAAAAACCAAATATAAAACTCAAACAGGAGCAATTAAAAGACTCAGAAGAATAAGAGGAACCAGAATAACTTTTTTAAAAGCAATAAAGCGATATATCCTATTTGATAAAGTTCAGTCTTGTATTAACTCTTAACCAGAGGCTACAACAATGTAGAAATCAATATCAAATAAAAATGGTGGTTTAAATCTTGCAACTATTTACACAAACATATTGTTTTTACCATGATATGACACTAAGAATGTGATATGAAAATGGCTTACAGTATGTAATGTTTCCCCACAAGTAGGAATAATTCTCCCCAAATGGCAGATTTCTGCTTTTAAGAGATATCATTATGAAATATGAAAATACCTGCACATACAGATACATTTTAAAAAAGTAAAAAAGCAAATAAAATATATTTTCCAAAACAAGCAAACACACAAACAAAAACAATAACCCAGTCCCAAACCCCAAACCAGATACATACACCTTGAAAAACAGTTTGGAAGAAATTATAGTTCAAACATGTACAGAGGCATAATATTCACAATGAATGAGCCCAGTTCAGTGGGAAGATGTTCCCTGGAACCACAGTGAAACGTATGAGTATTACAGAAGACTCTCATTCCTTCCATTTCACTTGTTCAAGAAAGTGGCACGGGATAAGCATGGCCAACATTAAGAATACGTTACACATACATTCATCCCCAGATGAAATGTTTTTAGAATATCACCAGTACCAAATACAACTGAGGAAACTGTGATGAATTTTCATCTAAACATACAGAGTAAGACTGAGTAAGGCCCCTGTTCTCTAAGAAAAAGAACATAATGAAAAGGATGCCTTTCAAATAGTAATTTTTAAAAAATAAATTTTCCATCCTTTTCTATTTTTTTATTGTTCTGAAAACTTCATCACATGTTCAGACAGCAGTAATGAGAAAACATTTGTCTATATCTAGCCAGCCTCTAGACAAACTGAGAGACCCATCTGAATTTTAATTAGTACTTGACCATTCAAATGCATTATTGAATGCATTATTTACTTATTAGCTGCTGTTGTTTTAAACCACCACAATCCCAAGGGTTTGGTGGATCTTTGCTCTATGACTCTTGCCATATTGGAAGAAAAAAAAGGTAAGAAGACGAAACAGAACAAAACTTCAGCACTGCTTTCCTCAGTAGCTGAAAGTCCAGAATAAAGAGCCTCCTAACGTCTCATGATTTTTTTTCTTCGTAAGGTGTAGGCTATTGTGTGAAAGTTGAAAATTGTTAATACACAAAAGATACAGATGGACACTAAATTTGTATAACAATATAGTAATGGTAATTAGGAGGCTTGCAAACAAAATGTATAATCTTAACCTTAGATATCTGAAGATGCCCACTATTATACCATTTCCTTTTAAAATAATGATACAAAACAGTCCTGCTATACAAACAAATCCAGTAACATATCCTTATGGTGAACAATGCTCTATATAAACAAGGCTTGCACCCAGGCATTCCAAATGCTGATCAGGACGTCCAACTTGATTCCTAGATTGTCTCTGGCCTGTTTCTTAAAGTGTCTTAATATTTTGGCACTTTTTAGTTCCGCAAAAGTGAAGCATTCAGACAGATAGCTTTTCAGCACTGTACATAATACTGTCTGGGGAGGGCATAGTTCAAGTTTTTAATGACACATGTATCGGTAAACAGGAACAGTTACCTTTCTCAGTGCTTCCCTTCTAAGAAGGGCAGAATTGCTAGCATCATGTTCAGTGCTATATGCTTCAGAGCATAGACCGAGTTTCCTTGAGGCTCTCTCTGCAGGTCCACCTAGGGTACATAAAGGTCTCTTCTCCTCCTCCCATTTAGCTGTATACGTTAGACAAGTTGTTGGGTGGACTTTGGGTATTCTAGATAAGGGTGATATTGATCTTGCTAAGCTTTTTATTGATATAGTGGAGAGCAATATCTTAGTCTGTTTTTCTAAGCTAGTAATCAGATAAAATCAGGAAAGGAAATATTTAGCTTTCAATAATACGAATTATGCTTCACACTTTATACCTTACTATTATGTTTTCTAAGTACTTTGAAACATAACATTCTTCAGTTTGTGGACATGAAAATGAAATACCTTACGGAATTTCAGGAAAGATTCATCCAAAATATGTTGCGTACCCATGACAAATAAATATTGGGGGGAGGGAAAACAGCCAAAGGTAAAATAATTAGAAAAGTTTGAAATGGGAAGTCAACAAATACATATCGTCTCCAGTGTGGATATAAAAACAAAAACAAAACAAAAAACAAAAACAGATTATTGCAAGGTGGAAATCTACAAGTGTAAAAAAAAGAAAAAGAAAAAATGCTATTTAAACTGTAATATTTGAGTATAAATGACTGCTTTAGAGGAGCTTTGTAAGAAGAAAACATTTTAGCACCAAAATAATTCTTAAATATCAACATAAAGGCACTACAAGTCTTCAGAAAACAAGTGCGTGGCCAGACTAAGCACGTTTTTGGCATTTTTAAGAACCAGGCACCATTTTGATATCTATTACTGCTCTTCCAAATCTAAACAGACAGATTATCATGCAAGTTTATCAATTTGACATCAACATAATGGAATGGTTTTCTAACATTATGAATCAGAATTCATCAATGAACAGCCTGTAATGAATACCAAACTCTTATCTATTCTTTAAAAAGAATAAATCAGCAAACATGATTGCTATAGCTGGAAAATTGACTGTTATAAGAAAAATGGCTGCTCAGCTAATCTACAGCTACATGCTCATATTCTCAATTCATATATTGTTAATTTCTGCACAGACTAAATCTCTTCCATCAACCTGAAAACAGATTGATAACCATTATTCCATTTAGAAGTTTAATTTCACTCTAAAATTAGTGATTGATGTCCTATCATTAACTCATTTAAATATCAACTGAAAAACAAACCAACAACCAGGGTCATGGGGCTGATTTGTGACGGGATCGCCACAAGCATTGCTTTCTATTTTTGATTAGCGTGCTTACCAGCCACACGGTAAGTCCACAAAAGACATGGGAGACCTATGTGCATGTTTGATATTTCCGTGCAGCCCACCCACTCTGCTTCCTCATCTTGTATTCACAGAGCTAGTATTGTTAGCTCTACAAACACAAAAAGAGAGGGAATGTTTAATGAGAATAAAAGAAACACTCATAGTCCAAGTTATTGATGAATTTTATATGTAGACCCCTACGAAGTGGAGGGAAACAGATCATAAAGAAAAAATATTTTTGGTAAAATGGCACAATACCTGAAGAGTGTATTCTTAATGGAACCATTCTGGCTGTAATGACCATCATAAAAAAAATCTGAGGAAACCATATGTTTGGAATGTACTGCCCAGCCTTTGGGCATTATGCTTACAGATGAGTAACATCTGACCAGATCTAAAATTACATAATTAAGGTTTAGCAGGATAGAGTAACAAATAACTCACATTACAGAGAAATGCATAAAAAATTAATATATAGGAAGCCTGTGGATGGAATTCAACATTATCCATCAACCAACAAAATGGAGAGAATGGCTTCTCCCACTACCATTAGCTTCATAGGCCTCCCAATTTTTTTCCTGGATAATTGGAGGACTCTTCAGAGTAGATTTGGGGAGATGGTTGAGGAGGGGATATTCCATGCAAAAAGAGAAAGGAAACTTCCATCTTACAAATGTCTGTTTGCATTACATGGGAGAAAACACTTCTTAAATATATTAAAATATGAATATTTATGTATGTGTACACAATTATACATGCATACATCTCTTATTTTTGCATTTCAAACATTTAAATTCCACCTTTCCACGCAGGCAGGACAGATTTCAATAAAAATATAATAAAACCACAAGAAAAAAATATTTAGTAAAAATAGGCATTCATTTCTCTGAATTTCCTGAGCACTAGAATTTTTTTCCTCCTGCTGTTGAGAGGATATCACTGAAACATTGAAAAACTTGCTAAAATGTTAACATGAAAGCTTCAGTATTGAGAAAAAGATCCTTAGTTCCGAAAAAGTAATGGAAAATACAATATATTGTTTAAAGGGTTCTAATTATCATTATTTTTATTATTATTTATTTAAATGTATTGGCCACCCATCTCCAGTGGACTCTGGGCAGCGCGCAAATGGTCTATAAACAAAATTTTAAATTAAAAAAAGGAAGTAAGATTTAGGGGTATAAAGCAGTACTGAGACTTAACTAATATTTGGTACGGTGATAAATATAATTCCATTTTCAACCTGATACAAATGACATTTTGCCACAATGGATGTTTATTTTCATAAGTGTGTTACTGTATTTTGAAAATATCCTACTGACTTTTTTGAAAGTGTATGAAATCTCTTATTTGGTCAGACCTTTAAAAAATTATAGAACATTCATCAGATTTAATGGCCATTTGAACAATGACAATATTCACCCTCCCAGCAAAATAGCAAAATTAATTAGCTTCTTAGAATGACTACAAACATACATTTTGAATATAAGCTTAAATATAAAAATATTAAATAGAAGGGTTCAAAACAGAGAAATGAAATATTTTAAAAAATAATATTCAGATGAAAATAACAATATATTTGAGATACAATGTAGCATGTACTGTAGCTATCATGCAGCAATACCTCCCCCCAGTTCCATATTATTTGGGTCATGGAACCCCAAAATACATTGATGTAGAAGAATGAAAACAAATGAATACGTGAACACGTAAAAAAAGAAAATCCTTTTGTTATGGAGAAGTCCTTATATATATATATCTAAAAAGACAGTGTTGAAAAAAGTTGAACACAATTCTGTTCTTCAAAATTTGAATGTCTATAAGCATGAAAGCAGAGGAGGCTAGTACACTGAACATGTAATTAAATATATTCTCCAAGCCTGTACACGCATATGCCATTGCACCGGAATTTCTAAAATCCAAATAGTAAGCTATAAAAAGTCAGATGCATTTCATTATTTTAGAGGAAGGCATTTTATGGTAACTTTTGTAAAAGCACTTCCTCTATCACACCTTCAAAATACAACATGTGAAATACATATTGTAGCAATCTTTGAAGATCACATTGTCCCCCAGTTGATACTAAGACCTATCATTGAATGATCCATTTGATGTCTCTCTGCAACTTTATCATCTTACTCGCAAAGCATGATCTTCATGCTTCTTTCATTCTTGGTAAAACAGTCCAACATGTGTTGAAATCCATGCTTCTTGACTGTGAGCAGTGCAAGCAAACAGAGGCTGATGAACAGGTATCATCCTTCTTTTTGACAAAGATGGTTTCATAACCCAGAAGACTGAAAGCCATCCACCGTCAGAAGGAACTGAAGTTCCCTCCAAATTCAAGATCATTGTCTTAATCTCCTTGTATCATTTTTTTGCAATAAGCCATGGTGTGACTCCCTTGAGATGACAGAAAGAACAATTGAATGTGTCAAGTGAAATTGACAACAAGCAACCCTTGTCGCGTATGACAGCAAGCAACCATTGTAGCACAACAAGCTGTTTTAGTACACAAATCATGCTTTTGCTCAAGCAAGTTTGGGGAAATGGGGCAGTGATAGAGTTTATGAGGGTGAACATGGCAACAAAGTCACTATATTCCAATGGCAACCTGTTACTGAGCACATATTTGGTCACAAATTAATGTAATTAATAAGTCATGGCACTTCTTCTCCATGCTGGTCCACAAGCCAAATCAAACAAGAATACAACCCAAACATAAAAGTAAAAAACCCCAAAATTTAAAAAAGGAAAACTGCAGAAACAATTCAAATGTCTATGAATTATCACTCTATTGGGATTAGCTCTGTAGACAGAATATTTTGATTCTGTACATTTATTGCACAGTTTATATTTGTCGGATTGCAGCCATATGTACACATGACTACTGCAAACAAGTAGAAGCAGTGCTATGTAAACATATTTCAGACTTGTAAAACCAATGCTTCCATTTTCAACTATAAATACAGGAGGTGATGTATTATATACACAACTTCATGCTTGCAAAGTTAGATTCATCACTGCAAAGAAACAAAGAGAAACATTTTAGCAATATTAGTAGTATTGGGTTCAAAGATATGTTTCAGCTGTATAAATAATACTGAGCTGGATAAAGAGATATATGAGTGGAGTTCTCCCCACAGAGTAAAATACTCTCAGCTTATAGGAGCTAAACGAGGGGGGGAGTTTTCTCCTTCCTTCCTGCAACAGCATTGAAAACTGCAGGAAAGCAGCAAAGGGGTATTAGCAAAGATTTTTTTGTTTTTTTCATATTCTTTTCCTTTGATTGACAGATCTTATTTTGCCTACTGGTGCTTGTTGCTATACAGCAGTGTTTCTCAACCTTGGCAACTTTAAGATGTGTGGACTTCAACTCCCAGAATTCCCCATGGCTTGCTGGGGAATTCTGGGAGTTGAAGTCCACTCATCTTAAAGTTGCCAAGGTTGAGAAACACTGGTATACAGTATTTAGGAATTAAAATAGTAAGCATAAGAATATTTGAGTGATCTCACCTTTTGCCAACAGCCAGGCATTGGTAACCCATCTGGCCCCTGTTTGAATAAGAAAGATCAAAGTATATTGTTGAGTTTGATAACACACCTCACCAATGCTAACATCATTTCATGCCTCAATTGTCGTTCAGGAAAATGAGCAAAATTCAAGCACTTAATATAACAGATGGGGTGCGGGGCAATTTTTGAAATTCATATGTACAGTATGTAATCATATGTTCCTCAGGTTTGCAGAAGAAGAATGAACAACAACCATACTATAAATAGTTGAAATCAATTCAGAGGAACACCTTAAATTAACAAATGCCTTATTCCATGCAAATGTATTTATGGCTTTGATCCATATATAACAGTTATAATGGAATGACAGTTAAGATCCCAAGCGTGTTATAGATCTCTTGGTTTTGACCAGGACTAGTTAGTCCTTCTAAAGAAAATTAGATAGGATTGAAAAAAGATATAATAATCAAAACAACTTTCCATGAGCAAGCATCATTTCTGTCTGAAATGTACTGGAATTACTCTCCCAAGAGCAAAATAATTATAGTTTAGCTACCAGCAAACATGATGGCATATTTTCAATACTGAATGTTTGAAATTAAAAGTATATGAAAGAAAACTAAATAAATATAATTTCTCAGAAATAATGAGAAGGTAGTGTTCATAACTGATGTTGGTAGATGTTATTAAACTGATATGGAAGCTTCAAGTATTGCATGTAGTTAACTTGACTGGATTTATATTTGTAAAATAAATGATAAAGTTCTTATGAATGCTAAAAATCCTCCATTTCCTACTTGGGAACCTATTCTACAAAGTTTCCTTCAGCTAGTAGATAAGAGGGGCCCTGTAGACTACTTTCTCTCTTCATTGTTTGAATACTAGGTATTGTTAACAAGACTGAGTAATTTAACTTTAGGTTGCTATCAGTTAAATCAACAGTGCCAGTGCAGCCCAGTCCATTTTTGACTAAACCCAGACATTTTGTTCAAGTGAGTTTACTTCTTTTGTCTTAATCTGATTCTGATTTTAAGTAGTGAGATTTCACTCCTATTCACATTCAGACCAGTTATATCAGGTTGAGATGACACAGTAATATCTGTGCAATATTGTAAACAATGGCATGTCTCTGCTCTGAAGGAGAAAAGACAGGATGATTCTGTGCTATTTTATCAGGTACTAAGTGGATTAAATCTAAGAATTTGGGTTCTCATAATTAATGGGTTACTCACAGTAGGTTGTGGGATTGTAAGTAAGTAGGATCAGCACTTGAATATATGGGGAGTCTTTACATTACAGTATTAGCTTGCAAATCATGAGAAAAACCCCAATCAGACATATTTGCAAAGCCCACACAGTTGTCTAACATATCTTTGAATTTTCCATTGAAAGATTTGAGAAATTCAGATAATTCCCCCTCCTTAGATTATAACTCAGTAATTTGAAGAAAACAACAAAAACCGCTAAGCAAACACTTGCTGACAGGTATGTTGTAGCAGCCTTATAGGACAGTTTTCCTTGATTTCCAGACAGAAATAATACTGCAAGATCAAACATACTTTAAAGAATTATGAGGGCATGCTTTATTTATTTGCAATCAAATATATAATAATAGGCTATTGTTAATCAATGACAAACAAAATAAAACATGGATTTTATACTTAAAGACTTTCCTGACAATTTAGATTAAGATGTGCTTAAAAAAACAGCTTAACTTTTACATTCATCTTTAGAGAATCGTGCTTAAACTACACACAGTATCAAAACATGCAGATCAAATCTATCTAGCCTTTAAAGGGTTTTTGGCATTTTCTAGAAATGTGTAGATAATGATGATTTAAAAAAAAAAAAAGCATTTTGATAAAATTGAAATGTTTGCCAGATTGGTACAAGGGAAAGGGATCAACAAGTAGAATTTTAGTATAGGTAGGAGCTTAAATTCATGCTAACATAGAATAGGAACTGTTGTATATACTGTGGGAAATTAAGATCCAAAGGAAAGACTGTTATGCTGAAAACATTTAAGAAACAAAGACGATAAGTGCTTTGGGCTGCAGGCCATTAATTTCTTATGAAGTACTTATAAAGCTTATTTTCAAGTGAACATAACATTGCAATATGTAGTAGAAGTGATCATGGGAATAGCAGACAGGTAAGTCTATTCAAGACCAATTCCCTGTCAATATATAATACTCATAACCTAACCTAAACAATCTTGGGCTTAATGTACCCTTTGCTAAACTGAGGGTAGAAACATAGAAATATGCATCTACTGAGCTCAGTTGGTGTATTCCATAACTAAGTCTGGATATAATCAGAAGTTGCAGAAACAAAGCTAAATTGAGCATTCCAGTTAAACTGCCTATTGTAATACATTATATCATTTCCCCCTATTTCATGGGGGATATTTGTACTTAGAAAAACGGGCAGGGAGAGTGCTTTCCTCTGCACAGTTTGCAACCCTTTGGATTGATTCTTAAGCACACAGAATTCCTGTGTGTGTGTGTATATATAACCTGATTCGGGTAAGCAAAAGGTCAGGCATAGAAACAGTGCTAGCTCCAGGTCACACCATCCACTTGTTCACTCTCTCTCCTTAGGTACCATCCACATACTTGCCCAAAAGCAAATAGCAAGTCAAGTTCTCAATTTCCTCATTGGTTTAATGAGAATAGATGACTGTCAAAGCAAGTAAATGGAATATCAGGAGCAGGAACTCCAGATGTTGTCAAAGAACCTTGTATTTTGATGTGGACTTTAACAGTTCTCTGGCTAGGTTGTCCTTTCATGCCCACCCTGCCTCACGTTAATAAGGACAGATACATACATGTAAGAGAACTTACTTGTCTGACACATATGTATGCCCAGTGAAGCCATACTCAGAAAAGTATCACTGGGTATACACTTATGTGTTTTAAATGAGTATTTCTCTTCTTTTCCTAGGCACATATACTTTATTACTCCAGTCTCGTTTTTTAAAAAATAAAGACCACACAAGCATAGTTACGATTCAAAATCATAAAACCCATTTATGAGTGAGGTCAGAGGAAATTCACACCTGTGGGCAGGGCAAGTATCAGTGCAACATAGGATGTCAGTAACTCGGTCATGGGGCATGGTGGATCTATTCTGTATCAGCCAACAGGGCAACCTCATTAAGTATGGCAGATCACGTTTTGTTGGTGGTGATCAGAATGGGAAGAAAGACAACAGTGGAAAATTGCACTTGGCAGCAAACGTTGGAATAAAATAAGCTCCGAACCACTGTGCAATGTAAGTATAACTTGCCAGTGTTACACTGCTGATGCTGAGAGGTGGAGTGATCTCTGGATACTGTTATTATCACCAAGGCAGGCCACTTTGATCATGCACATGCATGTATGGGGACATGTAATGTAAAGTCTGGTTATGGTGAACTTTACATTGGAAACAGCTGATTAGAAACATAGGAATCACATGCAGGATTGGAAGGAAAGAGCAATACTGTACCAATTGGCAAGGGGCATCCAGCCCATCCAGACCAGGCTGGCCTGGCTCCCCTTTTTCCCCCTTAATTCCACGGAATCCCTGTTTGTAAAAATTAACTTGCAACGTTACTAAGAAATGTCTTTTACATCAACTTTGCTGGAACAAGCAAACAGAAAAAAGAGGAGCAAGCTGACCGGAAGAGTACCACAGAAGAACGTGGGTGCCTTCCTTCCTAGATATAAGCTTTGTAGCAGAACACATGATCTATACAGCAAACATGAGCTCCCACATGAGCCACTGCACCACAAATTATGGAAGACTCTTCCATTAATAATTATTTGAAAAATGTCAAATGATATTTTACATGGAAGTAGGCCAAATCATGATTATTTTTAAAATGCAGAACAGTAAGACTTTCAGTGAATACCAACTTTGTTCAAACTGTAGCTTGCTCCTCTCTGCAGTGTGACATCTTGCTATATTATCTACTGTAAGAGGAGACATTTCCAATAGATGAGTGAGACATACCAATGGACAAGGTGCATCTAATCCAGGGGCACCCTGTTCTCCTTTCTCCCCTTTAGGCCCCTTTTTGCCTTTCTTTCCCTTTTCCCCCTGTGGACACAATGGTTTGGATAAAACACGTTTTATTCTTTTTCAGGGAATAAAAGAGAGCTGTTTTAAAAGTTTTTGTTTATTAGCCAATGGAGGGCTGAAAGGACACTTACCACTGTGTTTTAGTTTGCAGGATGCATTAGGTGGAAAAATAAGTTATATGATGATCAGAAGCATTAACTGCATCAGCTTGGTTATAATGAACTTTTGTATTGATGCAATTTTGATGGGCACTTTGAATTCTAAAACAGGACTTGGAATTATGAATTAGGTTGATTATTTCACCCTAAGGGGACATCAAAAATTTGCTGATCACTTAAAAACAAGGGAGTTCTGATACTTTTCCTAACAGTTGTGTTGGGTCTGCTTCCTGGCCTTGATTTTCTACAGGAAGAGCAACAGAACAAATAGGAATTGCACTGAGACTGTGGGTGCATGGGCTTCCTCTTTTTCCAATGGAAATACTTTGTGCATGTCAAGCTGTTCACCCTTACAGGAATCCTGCATGCGTCCAATGTGGACACAATCCCAGCTGACATGGTTGAGAATAGTCTCCATATATCTGGAGGGCATCAGTTTTAGAGCTAGATCAGCTTTTCCAAATCTGGGGTTTCTTTCTCAGAAGTCAGGTAGCCAGATGGTATTGCAAAAATGCTACATCTCAGTGTTCTGACAGGAATGCACTGTTTGGATCTCGGAGTTGGGTTCACAATAAGAAAAAAAGTTGGACTGAATGGGACAGATTTTAATGGATTCATTTTGTTGCAAGTTGGCTTGTCCCACTTGAATTTTCTGAATTCTACTAAGATCTTAGCCAAATGTATTTCTAAAAAAGTCATTAAAGGGTATGGATTATAGAGCAGCTTTCCCCAAAGTGCCATAATAGAAGATAAAATCCTGTTCAACACAACTGAAAGGCATTAGGCTGGAGAAGCTGATCAAGAAAATTAAGTGATAAAGTTTGGATTCCTTGTCCAACCCTGCAAAAGGATTCTGAAGACCCATGTGTCTCAGTCTAAATATCCTGATTCTTTTCCACATTAGAGTTCTACATTCTAATGCACATTTAGAATAAATTATTTATTGGCATCCTTCCTGGATTAAAGTATCCATGTGCTTGAATTAGAAACTTTTTTGTCTGAAAATAGAAATTCTTTCAAAGGAAATATACAATATGGTAATTTGACACTTTAGAGCTTTTTCTAAACAGATTTCACTAAACAAATGCAATACCTGGGGACAAGAATGGCTACCTGAGAAAAACCACTTTATCAGCAGTCAATGGAAGACACTTTGAAAGCTAATTTAAAATTGTTTTCACACCTGATCAGTTACAATGGTAAATGAGTTTCAGGCTCACAGTTCTTAACAAAGCCAAAAGTGACTCTATTTAAAAACACACACACAAATTAAGAATATTAGTGCAATGGAGATACAAAAGAAATAAAATTAGTAGAACTGAGGAATGATTGTCAAGGTCTAGGTTGTAGGAAGGATTTAATTTGTAAGGAAAAGGGTAAAAAAGACCAGATGAAGTTTAAGGAAACAAGGTAAAAGGAGAAGGGAGGAATGCACCTCTGGAAAGGCAGAGAAGATTAGGATGGCATAGAAGGAATAGACATTCACTCATTTTCTCATCAAAAATATGCATCCGTTTACAGCAGAAAATAAATATTTAGAACAGTTGCTTTTTAATGTTGTAATATTTAACATTTCAATGCCTAAAACAGTGCATTCTTAAAGTCACTGGCAAACTCTTAATGACTCCCCCCTCCAAAACTAGGATTTCACCTTAAATTAATATATCCAATTATTGTGCTAACATATATTTAAAAAGTGAAATTGCACAAAATCCACAATGTACTATGGCATAAGACAAACATCTAATGAGAGTCAAACACATTTTCATGGAGAGATATACTGTATTACATCCTACAAACAATATTTATTCACCTGTTTCAACAGTGTGCCAAAATGTGATGTACTTTGGAAGTGGGGAGGGGAGGAGGGCAGCAGTAACTGAACAATTGCAGATGCAACCCAGAAACTGTGAGTCAAAGGAATTAACCATGAAACCCTTTAGGTTAGTGATGGACGTGAAACACTTTACCTTTAATACTGATAATCTGAGTGCTACATTAAAAAGTACATTTCTCCAAATATTGCTAACTCTGAGCCCGAGCTATCTCACAAGGTTGCTGCACAGGGAAAAATGGAGAAAGGAGTGCTCTGTATGCCACTTTGAGCTTCTGGAGGGAAGGCCTGAGTGAATAAATAAAGATGTTACGGTAAATATAGGCACAAAATAGTTTTCAGAAAAATGAAGGAAGCTTGACTGAGGATTGTGACCAAACTATGGATCAGAACAGCCAACAAAGGTGGATCAGAGTAACTGGAGAGAAGAATAAATGGAAAATAAATTGGGTCTTTTAATATTGTGCTTAAGCAAAAACACAGCTTCCCACACCTTTCAAAATCTGAGAAGGAAGAATTACGCTGGACGTTTTTATTGATAGAAGATTTAGAATTAGACCTAATGGTTATGAGTTTTAAATAGTATACTATATAAACATATTAATCCATTTTAAGGGCAAAATTTAAATATTAATTCCCTACTTGCATCTAGAAAATCTAGGGGTAATTATTTAGTTTCAAAAGCAATGTAATCTTGCAGTTTGGCATGATTCACTCCAAAGGATGAATTCTGGTCTGACTGAACCAGTCTGGCCTCCTTATACAATTAACTCAGCTAGAAAATAAATGCTTATCGGGAAAAGCAAACACTAGACAATGATAATGTATGCTATGGTTCAATACTATTGTTTCAGGATTGGTATCCTGGTTCTCTAAACTGTAACAGCTTTTCTTCAAACATGCAAGCATATAGTTTAGCTTTAAAAACTATATTTTGTTGTTCTGTGAGCTGCATTATTTTTCTCAAACAAGCTGATTTCAGAGATGTTCAAATTATTTCTGAACCAGTGACTCTGAGGTTATGATCACATAATATGCTTACTGACAATTAACTTAAAATTCTCAATTACCTTGATATTTGCACAATACACAGAATCAATAAGTAATCACACAGGTAGGGTGCACACAGCAGACTGGGGCTTAGTGTTTAATCTGTGATTCAGTACAGTAAAGTGTGAATAATTTATTGTCTGTCTGTCTGTCTATCTATCACTAAAACTCTTGTGTCTGTAACCTTCAACTGGGTGAAGGTGAACCATAGGGCAACAATTTATGAATCAAGGTACCTCAAATGGGCTAGCTTACCGAATGCATCCTAAATCCAGGACCCATTACTTCCTTGGGATTGAAATTTGGGAAATTTGTGATCGCTTCAGCAATGCTGGGCTTCTGTGCTGCTGCAATCAGCCCAGGTCATGTGATCATCATGGGCATATCCCTGACCTCTTTCCTGTCTCCCTCTGTCCCCTGCACCCAATCGACTGATAGCAAGGCCTGATGGGTGAACAGCAATTGGCTGCTTTGGAAATGAGGCAGAAATTTGAAATCTCTTTGTGGCGTTGGGTGTTGAGGGAAGGATGAGAGAGCAACTTGGATGCCTGCTAGTGAGGTAGGGCTGGCTGGGAGGTGCTGGGGGGCAATGTCGATGGGTGAGCCCTCTTCCTCCCTCAAGGAAGGAAGGGGACACACCGGAATGGGGACACACCGGACACACCGGAATGAGGAGGGGACACACCGGAATGAGGAGAGGGTGCAGTTTTCCTCTTGGTCTGTGGTTCTCTTTGTTCTACCTCCCACCAGCAAAGTGGCAGGCAGTTCTGCAGGTCAGTTGAAGAGGAGGAGGCGGCTTCACTGGGGCTCTCTGAGGGTTGTGAGGGGAAGGCAAATGGTGCAAGCCTATATTATATGTAGAAGGGAGAGAGGGAGGGAGGAAGGAAGGAAGGGAGGAAGAAAGGAAGGAAAAGGGGGAAAGAAGGAAGATTTCTGATGCTTCCTTCCAGCTTCCCACAAGCAAAGTCAGTAGGAAGCTGGCAACAAGTCACTCCCACTCCCATTGCTTTTTTGCCCTTGGTCATTCTGTTTTTCTGTTTAGGTAAGGAAGCATCTCTGAAACGATGACCCAATGGGTCACAGGTTGTCTCCTTAGTTATTATAAGAAGTTTCTTTCTTTCATTCACCTCAACCCAGCTCTAAATCTAGTACATTTGATTGAGTTTTAGGGTCTGCAATTACATTTGTGATCTCTCATGGTACACACATTTGTTTGTATGGCAGAGTAGACTGGAAGAAGCTGACAAGATAACTTGGGCAGAAAACGGAAGTTAATAATAGTATTAAAAATTAGTGCAGTTAAAT